GGCATTTCGCAGATCAACGCCGCACTGACGGCTTGCATGGTGACGACGAGATACAAATATAAGGTTTTTCCGACTTCTGGTCTTGATAGTACCGGTGGCTCAGAGAGGACCTGTTTGAGGTGGCGGAGAGCCTGCTCGCACTCCTCGGTCCATTCAAACGCGGCCTCTTTGCATAATAGTTTTAAAAAGGGAAGGGCGTGCTGCGCGAATTTGGCGACGAATCGTGTCAAGGACGCGAGCATCCCATTTAGTGACTGGATATACTTCTTTGTGTTCGGTGTGGCGAACTTAGAGAAGGCCCTGCATTTGTCCGGGTTAGCTTTTATTCCTCATTCTGTTAGGTAGAAACCGAGGAACTTGCCTGCTTCCACGCCGAAGGTGCACTTGTCGGGGTTGAACCTCATCCTAAACATCCTCGCCGTTTCGAAAACTTTCCTTAGATGAGCGGTATGGTCGACCTCGTCTCGCGACTTCACGATCATGTCTTCCATGAAGACTTCGAGCATGTCATCGATTTCTCCTTGGAATACTCTGTTCATCATCCCTTAATAGGTCGCCCCTACGTTCTTTAGGCCGACAGACATTACGTTGTAATAGTAGTTGCCTGACTCGGTCATGAAGGCTGTATGCTGCTTGTCGGACTTCTTCGTGAGGATTTGATTGTATCCCGAGTATGCATCCATGAACGACAAGAGTTTGAAACCTGCAGAATTGTCGACGAGTTTGCCGATGTTAGGCAACAGGTAAGCGTCTTTGGGACATGCCCAGTTGAAATCAGTATAGTCAATGCACATTCTCCATTTTCCACTAGTTTTATTAATAAGTACAATGTTGGACAACCAGGTTGTGTATCGGGCTTCCGAAATAAAATTCGCCTCTAGGAGGCCTTTTACAGCTTTTTCAGCAGCCTCCGCTTTCTCAAGAGACTGCCTACGCCTACGTTGAATTATGGCCCTAGCGGCCGGATCTATGGAGAGGTGGTGGCATACCACATCAGGTTGGAGCTCAGGCATCTCGGCAGCGCTCCACGCAAAGAGGTCTGCATTCTCCCGAAGGCAGGCCTTGAGCTGTTTCCTTGCTAGGCTGGGTAGGCTCGTGCCGATCTTCACGCCTCTTTCGGGGTTATCTCCTAGCATGATGAGCTCGAAGTCTTTGTCCAGGATGGGGCGTGTTGGACGGGGGAGCTGCCCATTGTCTGCTGGAGGCGTGTCCTCAGAGTCTTTTCCTTGTCCCTGGTTGCCGGAGAAACGCCTGTCGAGGTCGACATAGTTAACGTGCGGGAGGGCCTTTGGTTCCTCAGTTCAGGCTGGTCGATTGGCCAACTTGAGGGCGACGTTGGTAGAGTTGAGTCCTTTGAGTGCCACCTCGAAGCATCTTCTGGCCGCCACAGTGTCTCTGTGGAGGGTGACGACCCACCCTCTGGTCATGTAGTACTTCATCTTCAGGTGGACTGCCGACGGTACTGCGATAAGTTTGGCTAAGGTTGGCCGTCCCAGAATGCACTAGTACAACGAGGGACACTCAATCACTAAAAAATAGACTTTCACTTGTCTGACCGTCTCCTCGGCCCTGAAGGTGACGAGTAGCTCCACATACCCCCATGGCTTGGTGGTCGTTCCGTTAAAGCCTTGGAGGTTGGAGCCCACGTACAGGGTCAAATGACTCTCGTCCAACTTCAGAATGGTGGATAGATGGGCGTACATGATGTCCACCAAACTTCCTTGGTCGACCAGGATTCGGCGGACATCGAAGTTTTCCATTTGTGCTCTGATCAGGAGGGGAATACTGGTGTTGGGTGCCCCCTAGGAAGCTCCTCGAGGTAAAAGGTGATCGGGGTCGATTGCCCTTTGAACCTGTCGAGGGTAGCGTTCGTCTTCGAACTCCTGTCGATGAGCTCCTCAAATTTCCTCTTGACCAACCCGACCGACAACTAGCTGGGCCCCTACTGGATATCACCATTGTGGCTGCGAAGTCCTCCCACGGGCTGAGAGAAATCAGCGGTCTGGTGGGTTCGTTGAAGAAGAAATTCTCTGGTCGGGAGATGCATAGGGCCACCTGCAGTCCCGTTTCATCGAAGGGGGTTAATGCTTTCTCGACCTTCTTTGCCTCGCGGGTCTCAAGTCGGGGGACTTCTCCTCTTTAGGAGTATTGTTTCAGATGCCCTTCTTTGATTAAGATCTCGATTGCATCTTTGAGGGGAATGCAATCTTCTGTCACGTGTCCATGGCTTCGGCGGAAGCGACAGTATTTGGACTTGTCCACATTGGGCTTCGGGGGTGTCAGTTTCGAGAATCAGACACCGCCCCTCTAAAACTCCAAATTGATACATTCGTCCAGAATGCACTCGTGGGGAGCTGTGAGTAGCGTATACTAAATGAACCGACTTGCTGGTCCTCTCTGCTTGCGGAGACAATCTTCGCGCCTTCTCTGTTCGTTTTGTCGATAAGGAGCAAAAGGGGTTTCTTCACGCCTCGCGCCTTTAGAGGCTTATTGGTTACGCCTGGCCCAGGCGGTGTTTACGACCTCTATCTTCTCATATTCCATGTGTGACTGAGCCATGTGGAGAAGGGCGTTCAAGGTGCGGGGACGTGCAAGGCCGACGACTTTGGCAAAGTCAGAGTGTGATCTTATGCCCCTCTGGATCAAGAATTTCTTCATGTCGTCCGTCATTGACACTTGGACGACATCGTGATTGAACCTCTCAATGTAATCTCTGAGAGGCTCGCTCTTCCCCTGGATAATGGCCTCTAGGGTCGCCTCTGTCTTCGGATGGCGTCGAGAAACCGTGAAATTCCTGGAAAACTGGCGCTTCAGTTCGCCCCATGAGGCGATGGAGTCGGGAGCCAGACGTTTGTACCACGCCATGGCCCCCTTCCTCAAGGTGGTGGGAAATAGTCTGCACTTGATGACTCCCTGAATGTTTTTGTAATCCAGCATCACGTCTATACCTTCGATGTGGTTGTCTGGGTTGATCGTTCCATTGTAGGTTGCCAGGATCGAGGTTTTTTTATCCCGATGGGCAATGGCGCCTCCCTGATGGCTCTGCACAGTGGTGAGCGTCGGGTATCTTCGTCGCTCCGGACAGGTAACGACGAGGGGGAGGCTGATTCTAGGTGGTTTCTGTGCCGGCGTGGACTCTTTGGCGGGGCCCTTGGTCTAGAGGAGGCTGCAACGACTTTGGTCTTCTTTTGAGTCGGGGAGCGCCGCTCTTCTCTGGAAGGTGATATGCCCCTCTTGTAAGAAACTGTCAACTGAGGTCATTCCAGCCGGGGGCAGCGCCCTGCCAGTCGAGGAGATGGATTCCGGGAATCTTCTACATATCGTGTCCTCCATTGGGGGAGGAGAGAGGCTGATGGAAGTCGAGAGACGGCGTCTCCGAAGGGAGAGAGGCTGACAGAGGGCTGTCGACGGTGCCTCTGTGGGGGAGGAGAGAAACTGGGAGAAATCGGGCGACAGTGTCTCCGCGGGGAAGAGCTTGACGGTTGTTCCCTCTCGAGGATCCTTATCCGTTCGTTCTGCCAGAAGATCATCAAGTTGGTTTGATTGATCGCCGCGAACAGAGTCGTGACGGTAGGATCGACGCCCGCTGGAACCGAAATGGGCTGGTAGATGGTCGGGCTATCAAAGCGTTAAACAACGTTGAAGGCCGCGTCCTCAGAGGATGGGGAGGCGGTGCGCCCGTCCCTCTGGTGATCTTCTTCATTGTGAGTTGTCACGTTGGGGTCGCGACCGTCCCCGTTGGAGAAGAGGGTAAAGGCGGATCCCGGCGCATTGTCGTTACGTGGGCTGACCATGATTAAGATGAAAGTGTTGGAAGTTGCTTTGGTCCCTGGGCTGCTATGCTGAGATAGAAGAAGGGACGAGGAAACAAAAGATTCCCACAAACGGTGCCACTGATCTCACCTGATCAGAAAGAATCAATGGTCTGCCACGCGTCGTTGGATTGTTGTTTTCACTGGAGTTGTGGAGAGAAAAGGGGTGTACCTGTAAGGCACTCTGATGCTTAAGTGAGTAAAGGATCAAAGAGAAAGCAATCACATAGATTAGGTGTGGAGAAGAAGTTACCTGACCCTTTAGAGAAATAGGGTATTTATAGTGTGCCCCCAGCGCAGGGCCAACAGTTACATTGTATTGGGCTGGACTGTCAGGCCCAACCCAAGTAACTGTCAGGTCTTACGTGGCGTAGTAAAGACCAGCACGCGATCTTCGCCCTAGATCAACTGCCCCGTGATCTTCAGAAGGTGGGTTGACCGACTCTTTCGGAGGTGGGTTGTTGTCTGATGACGTGTCCCCGCGTGGGGGACACGTTGAGGAAGTAGGGGAAGTGTGCGAGCCTCCCCGACAAGAAGGTCTTCTGCTCGACGCATGTGTCTGGTTGAAACTTGTGCCCGACAGAGGAGGACTGAACCTTGTTGGACCTCATTAGTATAACATTGGGTTGAGTCTGCCCGACTGAGGGACAAGTCCCGACCCAATCCAAAACACTTTATATAAAAAAACGGTTAAAATCGCCTCTACTTAATTTGACGTCTCATGCAAATCATCATCTAATTAAATTCAACGATGCAAAATTGACAAGAAATCATAGTTGTATTATACAAACTCAAATAAGATAGTACCAATTTTTTTACTATTCCTTTTATAACGCTTATATTTGGGCCTTACATGTTGTTATAAAGTGTTATTCTGAAATATTAATAAAATTTAAGATGTAATCAAATGTTTTTAAAGTATAATTAGAAAATATATTTAATTATTTATGAGCGCCTATCCTCATCATATTAGTTATTTATTTATCTTTTTGGTGATTTTATGTTCAAAATGGAACATTCAAGATGAAAAAATGAATCAATTACCGCATCAAATCTATTTCCGGGTAACTACCGTCGACTGAATCACGCGTAACCCAGGTGTCTAAGCTACCTTCTCCTTCACTTCACCCTCTTCCTAATCCTTTCTCAATTTCCCAATCACCAAACCCTATTCATCAATCAACAACCATGGTTCCGCCGGCGACACAGTCGCCGAACCCTCAAGAAACCCAACAATTCCTCAGCTCCGTTCTTTCCCAGCGCGGTCCATCCGCAGTACCATACTCCGAAGACACAAAATGGCTCATCCGTCAGCACTTGATCTCTCTCCTAACAACTTTCCCTTCTCTTGAACCCAAAACCGCTACTTTCACTCACAACGATGGCCGCACCGTTAATCTCCTCCAAGCCGATGGAACCATACCCATGACCTATCAATCCGTTACCTACAACATACCCGTTGTTATCTGGCTCATGGAATCTTACCCTCGTCATCCGCCTTGTGTCTATGTAAACCCTACCAGAGACATGATTATCAAACGCCCTCATCCTCATGTTAATCCTTCTGGCCTTGTTTCTGTTCCTTATTTGCATAATTGGATCTACCCTAGTTCCAATTTGGTTGATCTTGTTCTCTCTTTGAGTCTTATCTTTGGTCGTGAACCTCCTCTTTATTCCCAACGTAGACATAGTAATAATAACCCTAATCCCAATCCCAATCCCAATCCCCATCCCAACCCTAATCATAACCCTCATCCAAATCCTCATCCTCATCCTAATTCAAGTTCCAATTTTGCATCTGCTTCTTCATCTGGGTATCCTCATCCTGCTAGGAACAATTACCCTCCTTCGCCTTATTCGCCTTCGCCTTCTCCTCGTCCTCCTCATACGGAGGATCCTACTGAGGTTTTTAGGAGGAATGCTATTAACAAGCTTGTGGAGATGGTGCATAATGATGTTACATCTTTGAGGAAGACTAGAGAAGCTGAAATGGAGAGTTTGTTTGGTTTGCAAGGGGTTTTGAAGCAGCGCGAGGAGGTTCTGGATAAAGGTGTGAAGGAAATGCGAGAGGAGATGGAGGGTTTGGAACAGCAACTTCAGATGGTTTTGATGAATACTGATGTTTTAGAGGGTTGGTTGAGGGATAATCAAGGGAAGAAGTTGGAGAGTTTGGAGAATGTTGAGGATGCTTTTGAGTGTGTGGATGTGCTTTCTAAACAGATGCTTGATTGTACTGCTGCTGATTTGGCTATTGAAGATACTCTTTATGCATTGGATAAGGGTGTTCAGGTGGGAGCAGTACCGTTTGATCAGTACTTGAGGAGTGTGAGGGTGTTGTCGAGGGAGCAGTTCTTTCAACGGGCTACGGCTGCTAAAGTTAGAGCTGCTCAGTTGCAGGCTCAGGTTGCTAATATTGCTGCGAGGAGTCATCATTATGGTAACTGAGGAGACAGGGCTAGGTTTGTATCTGAAGGTTATGGAATCGTTCATCGTTAGTTCTATTTGGTACAGATTGCCACTTGTTTCTTGAGTTTTAAGTTGCTGCTTCTGTCCAATAGCATAAATTGGCAGCCCCTTATGCCTCGAACAACTTTGAGATTTTTACGGGCATGAGGCTGTACCATTGTTTTTATACAGATTTAATTATATGATTTACTTGAAGTTGTGTTTTAAGATATTGTTAGCTCAAGTTTTTCAGTGTTTAGAGGTATACTTGATATGGATCACTGGTTTGTCCTATGTTGTATTTTTCTAAAACAAACATTGGGTATATTGTGATAGGTATATATATTTTTTGCATTGGGTTATTTCTTGCCTGTTTGAAATTATTTTACGCCAACTGATTATCAAGACTTTGTTTTCACAGTAGGAAGTTCCCTGCGTTTAATTTTAAAATTTATCAGGGAGAAGTATTTTCCAAGAATTGTATGCCCTAGTTTGTATTTTGTATTTGGGAAAGTATCTGTTATATGGGATTATGACTCTGAGAAGTAGCAACGAGTCTATTGGTTAAATTACCATGTTCAGCTGGTCTTTTACTGATCGTACTAGTTCTAGTGCTTCATTGTCTGTATGGTCTGTTAAGAATCGTGAAGTGAGTATAGTCTAAGAAAGATGTTAAGAATTGTTTTCTCATATAAAACAAGTTCTCTGGAGATAGAGAATATACATGAAAATAGATATCCCCTTGAAAAGGAGCAAAACAAACCATCAGTTTCCTGTACTAACAAGTGCTTCAATATAGCAGTCGTCCTTTTTTTCTTTATGTATTTGTCATGGACTCCTTGAAGTCCTTCTTATGCATATATTGATGTATTGTGTATACATCTGATTCATGAATGTGACCATTCCGTTTAAGTTTTCCCTTTTTGAGCTTGCAGATACATGCCACTGATTGTCGTGTGAAATTAATGATATGGAATATGACTTTTAGGTCATATAATACTAAGTACTTGTAATGTAAAAACTTCAAAGTGGAGTGAAAAAAATGAAGTTTCATCTTTTGTTATATGTGAAATGGATCATTCTTGTTGCACATGCATCATGTTATGAAAAGAAGAAACCACATAGGCTTAACTTATATTGATTCTTTTATGTTTCAAAGGGCATCAATAGATTATATTAAGTTATGTCAACGAAAGCAGACTAGACTTTGATAGACCACAAGTATCATTATGAACCTTTTTTCATTAGAAGATGTGATTAATGTCTATACTATTATTTTATACAATCACATAGGAGCATGTTTGTGGTGGAAATATAACTTGTTTTGAATGTTTCAATTGGGCATGTAACATATTGATGCGATTAAAAAATTGGTTTGTAGACGAAGGTGATGGAGAATCTCAGTGCATCTGGCCATTAGGCTGCTGGAATATAGATTTGCTACTTCTGAGTTCATGAGTAGTATACATGTTATTCTAGTTTAGACATGTTCAAGAAGAGGGGATCTGGGTTTGTTGTTTCTAGAGTTAAATAGGCATCATTTAGAATTGTTAGTTTGGTTACATTTGTTTGTTGGATTATCATGATGTTGGATTGCTGCTGCACAACTTGGCACAAGTAAATGTGTTTTTCATCTGCAGAGGGCCAAAATACCTGTGTGAGTTAGATATCCTAGAACTGAAAAAGAGGCTAGTTTAAGAACCATCTATTTCATAGTACATTTCCTCGATGAAAATTTTCTTTTCTCCATCTCTGCCATTTGATAAAATTAAATGGAAAACCAGTAAAGGGTTGTTTGTTTGTGTAGACTGATGTTATGATCAGAAAAAGTGCTAGTTATTTACTACTTGTTTGGACCTGTGAGTAAACTTCATAGCTCTTACATGATCATATCTAGAAACTCACACTTGCAGTCTCTCTACAGGCAGGTACAACCAAGCAGTGTTATGTGTACAGCTCTTCTTCTGTTGTTTGATTTTTCTTTGTATATCTATGATGAAATATGGTGGATGCAGGAAAATATGTAAATCGTTTTGACTATTTTTTTCTAGTAATAATTTGCCAAATTGTTGTGCGTAAAATAATATAGTTCATATTCATTGATTAAATAAGCTGTTGTCTTTGCCATATTCATTGATTAAATAAGCTGTTGTCTTCGCCGTCCACTCCTATGAAATTTCCCTTTTGCATGTGGCCATGCGTCCCACTAATTTGGAGCCTGGTTGGATGTTTATAAGATGCTGCAAATAACACTGATTTTTTCTTGTCTGGATTGGTAGATCTATAGGGATTGGTTTTTAAGAAAATAGTGTAGGGGGGAAGTGTGTGAAAGAAGCTCTCATAAGTGAATGTCACGTAGTTTCCTTGTTTGTATTGTATTGTTTCAAAAATAGAATATGCTGTGTAAGAAATTAGAATAATCCTTCTAATCTAAAAAATAGAGTAATAAGTAGTTTATAATAGTTTCTTTATAGTAGTATTTAATGAAATGTCTGTACTATTTTTTCTTGTCAAGTACTACTTTGTACATAGATGTTTTGGTGACTTGTGTATGTATATCTTTATAGAAAAATGCTATTTTGACGTATATCACTGTTTATACGGTGAACAGTGCATGTGTAAGCATTTGAATTCAAACTATTAATAAAAGCAGTTATTCATTTCAGAATCAATGAGCAGAAAAGTGAAGAAAATCAAATTTGAATCCAAACTACATATTAAACATGCATTTGCGCAGCATGCTTGTCACATATTTATTTGATAAAAATATCACTTGTATAAGTAATTATATCAAATAAAATAGAGAGTACTTTGAGAGTGGTAAAGTAGAAATGATAAATAGATACATTTGTTTCCTAACAAAAGACAAATAATGAATCAAAATTACATAATTATTTATACACGTAACAAAAAGATATGTTGGAAGGATCAATCAAGATTGTTCATAAGTTGCAGAAAAGACGTATAATGAATAAAAAATAGAGAGCTAATATTTACATTTAAGTTTGTTCATATTAGAAACATACCAAATAGTAATCCAAAAGAATCAAGTAATTAATTCTATATAGAATGCCATCATCACCAGAAAATAAGATTGATGATAAAGACTTACATTAGTTCTGATTAATCATTGTCCTCTCACTTCATCTCAATGGACCAGTTTCTAATCACATCCCAGAAAGAACAGTTCTTCCATTAATTTATCTCAACCACCAGAACATCGCAACCTTGTGTAAGTAGGATAAGACATTGAACACTCAATTAGCTTGTAAAAATCATACATTGCATCCATGTTGTCATTAAAGCCAGCCATATTTTTTATCAACTCAAGTTGAAGTCAAGCGATTTTCCTCCTGTGTTGTATTTTCACGCGTTCCCAATTTGACGAATCCATCTTCACTTCTTGATTATGATTATGAACTCTTTCTTCTTCTTCTTTACAACTCCCCTAACAGAAACAAGTTTCTCTTTGAAACTATTTTGGGGGTAGCAATTCTAATTTAGAGGCTTTTGTAGTTATTAAGATATATACCTTCTATTCCTTATTATTTGAAATTTAAAAATGGGTTCTTGAAAATTTCTTTTTAATCAAGTTTCTTGATCTTTTTAATCTACATAAGTATGAGACAATAGTAACTGATAACTGGTTGTTTATTATTCGGTTATATCAGTTATTCTGTTAGCCTTTAGTTACCACATAGGACTTCATTACCTCTATATTTTAATTGGAGTTTCAAATTTTAATTAAGCTTAAATTATTTTACTTTCTTTTAATATTTAAACACAATTTCTCAAATTGTTCACTAATATTGAAAAAAGAAAAGAGTGAAGATTGCAGAAAAATGCTGAGAAGAGTGGTTCAACAATCTCGCAAATTTCATCGTTCCGTCGTCAATGGCTACTCTTCAACCGCACCATGCCATTACTCTTCTTCTACCATCTCCATCGATCGTTCTTCCCTTCACAACCCACCTGGTAATAACACTTACTCTCTTCATTTTCTCCCCTTTTTCTCTTCTTCAATTTCTCACTTTTCTTCATTCTCGCAGAACATTCTCACCGACCCACTTCCGATTCTGAACTCGTTAAGCACCTCAAAGGGATTATCAAGGTTGCACTAGCTTCTATTTTTCTTCTCTAATTCAACTTATTACTCTGTTAAATACAACAATCACGCCCTAATTTTTTTGCAACATCATAAAAATCGTATCTTTTCCTCCTTTCCTTATTGGGTTGCAAAATTTGATTTTTTTTCTATATACTTGCAATTCTCAGTTTCGTGGAGGTCCTATCTCATTAGGTGAGTATATGTCAGAAGTTTTGACAAATCCTAAAGCTGGATACTACATTAATCGAGATGTTTTTGGAGCTGAAGGTGATTTTATCACCTCTCCTGAAGTCAGCCAGATGTTTGGTGAGGTTAGCTAGCTTGCTCAATTGTTATCCAATGAATTTTAACTTCCATTAATCTGTCATCTGTGTTTGCAATCACTGAACGAATCTAATTTGTTGTTTTGTGTGAACTTAGATGGTTGGTGTATGGGTGATGTGTCTGTGGGAGCAAATGGGTCGACCGGAAAAAGTAAATCTAGTTGAGCTGGGACCGGGACGTGGAACTCTTATGGCTGATCTTCTTCGTGTATGAAATTGAAACCACAACATCGATATGAATCCTTACTTGAATTTCAATTTCAAAGTGTTGACTGTTAAACATTTATGGTTAAACAAAGTTTTTAACTTGTTATAGGGTGCTTCAAAATTTAAGAACTTCACCGAGTCCTTACATGTACACCTGGTGGAGTGTAGTCCTGCTCTAAAAAATCTTCAGCACAAGAATTTGAAATGTGTTGATGAAGAGAATGCAGATGAAGATTCAGATAAAAGAACTGTAAGCACTTTGGTTGGCACTCCTGTGTCATGGCATGCTACACTGGAGCAGGTTCCTTCAGGATGTATGTATTGTTTTTCTAATGAAAATTGGCTTTTCGGCATAAAATACAATGTTTGACTTGTTATATAAACTCTAAGTTTGTTTTCTGTCACGTAGTAACATAAAATATTATTGTACTATGTTTGAATAATCCCCTTCCCTCACCAAGTTACTCCTTTTCTTGTGCTCCAGCGCCAACAATTATCATTGCACACGAGTTCTTTGATGCCCTACCAGTCCATCAATTTCAGGTGATAGAATGCTTGTGCTATTAATCTCAATTGAATCTTCTGCAAGATTTTTGCTTTCACTATCGTCTATGGTGCCTCAACTGTTTTTCTTTTGGCATGCTTTCATCCTCTCCTGTCTTTCTATTTTTGCTTGTTATTGATATGTAGCTAGCTTTACCTTCACCTAGGAGGTTCTGCTCTTTCTTTGTTTTATTATTAAGAGGATGAATATAATGTAAGAGATGTTCAATGCTTTTTGCATTAATTGTTGCTTCTCATATTGAAAGGCTTGGGCCTGGCAGACAATCTTTATGTTCCTCGAGATCCGTCAGAATAATTGCCATATAGTTGAAAGGAAAAAAAATTGAAATCTCGCTTCTCTCCGCATTCCAACTTTTTTTTAATTGTAATTGGCATCATAGGTCTACAAAATATAATTAATTTGTTTTTTTTTTGGTCTCCAGAAAGCAACTCGTGGCTGGTGTGAGAAAATGGTTGATGTGGCAGACGATTCATCGTAAGTATTACAATGTATTCTACTTGAGATTGTATTTCTGCTGGATTTAGTGTACTGATACTTACATATATCTGATAGGTTACATTTTGTTCTATCCCCACATCCTACACCTGCAACTTTGTATCTGTTGAAGAGAGCCAAGTGGGCTGCAACTGAGGAGATTGCAAAGCTCAATCAAATTGAAATTTGCCCCAAAGCTATGGATTTGACTCAGACCATCGTCGAACGGATAAGTTCTGATGGTGGTGGAGCTTTAATCATTGACTATGGCTTAGATGGAGTAGTCTCAGATAGTCTCCAGGTCTAGCATCTTTCCCTTTTTATTCTTAATCATATTGCATTCTAGTTTTTATCTTGCTCTGTATATCCCAAGTTGAGTATCTTGTATCTCTTTGAATTAAGCAGGCAATACGGAAACACAAGTTTGTCAATCTTCTAGATGACCCCGGATCTGCTGATCTCAGTGCATACGTTGATTTTGATTCTATTAGACATTCTGCAGAGGAAGCCTCAGGTGCTTTTCCATATGCTGATAGTTGTGACACATTTTTATGATCAGAACTATACATACCTACATACTCAAAAACTAATAATTTGTTTGCATCTTATGGAAATATGTATGCAGAAGAAGTGTCTGTTCATGGGCCAATTACTCAATCTCAATTTCTTGGTGCCCTTGGAATAAACTTCCGTGTTGAATCCCTCCTTCAAAACTGTACAGAAGAGCAGGCTGAATCTTTGAGGACAGGATACTGGCGTCTTGTAGGTGACGGTGAAGCTCCGTTTTGGGAAGGAGATGAAGATAATGCCCCAATCGGTATGGGTAGTCGCTATAAGGCAATGGCTATAGTGAACAAGAACCAAGGTGCTCCAGTTCCTTTTCAGTAAAAGCCTAAAAATAGTTGGTTTTTGGTGCATGTAAAACATTATACGGTACTCAATCAGCGGTTGACAGTTGACAATTCTGTTCCTACACTACTTGTTTTCTCTTTTTATTTAATTATTTTTTTAGATGTTTATTTAATAGCTTCTTGGCATGCTTTGTATTGGAAGAGTTGTAAGAGGCAATCATTTTTTGTTGTTGACAATAATGTAAGAGCCACATTAGTAATTTTAACTGCATTGTATTAATCATCTATATAAGGAAATACATGTTGGAAGGAATTGGGTACATGTTATGTCGAAACGACAAAAGGATTGATATGATGTAACACGTTATATGATGTAACACGTTCTTACGTCTTAAAAAATATATTTTGAATTAAGGGTATGTCTAGTGTTTGACATGTCTCACTATCTAACTAACACATATTGTCATAATCGGTTTCTCTGTGCTTCATAGCTACACACGAAGTTACTAGCGATATTTGGCATGTTGTCATAATCGGTTTCTCTGTGCTTCATAGGTACACACAAAGTTACTAGCAATATTTGGTAGCGATAGCCATATGGCGTTCTTTCTTTGCATCGCAGAAGACAGTTTCAACGATATCAGTGTACTTTTGTTTGTCTTTGAGAGGCCAATTCATCTTATTGTTGTTACCTGTTCCAATATCTATCATGATGTGTTTGTTCCTAAAGAAAAACATAATCTTGTAGTGATGTCTACCAGGCATTTTAGGTTTTGTCTTAAAGCTTTTGTAACATAATCAGACTCTACTACTCTTGGATTTTCGATTCACTAATCATATCTAATATTTTCTTCTTCTAAATTTGCATTTGGGGTCCAAAGCATTTGTTTTCATTTGATGCCCCATCCTCTGCCATACGCTATTCATATGCTCAAGCTCGGCTTCTGAATTTTGAGATGTTGATATTTCCTGCACAGTATGTTGTATTATACCTAAAACTGGTCCTCCATTGGAGATTCATTATGATTCCGGTGGACTTCCATACCTTCCATATTATCGTGCATGTGCCCTTGAACCTCACACCTATGGTTGGTATTGTCATGCATATAATCGTCTTCTGTCCCTTGTAATTGATTATAGTTGCATATTAACCCTTGGTCAATCTGATCTTGAGCTATATTTTCATTAAACTGTCCTTGTTAAGCCATTTTGTCTAGAGCCAAATTGATATCCTTTTGTTCTATCACCTGTTGTATCGTAATTGTTCCATGATTTTTGTGTTGCAAAGAATCAGAAATTTGATCTTGAAGTATCAGGGAGTGTCCTACAACCATTAAGTAAATCTTGCTGATGTACCTTAGTTGAATTCAGTTCCTGATATTGAATGCAGAACATTGAATAAAGTCTTGGTGCCTCTGAACATGAATGACAGATTTTGCATTGAATCTTGTTGCCTTTGAACTTGAGCAACCTGCTTTGTCATGATGCCTTTCTGCTGAACCTGAGTAGATTTTAGATAAAGAGTGTGTGTGTAATTGTCATCAGTCTTATCTTTTGCGTTATAACCAATTTTATGGTTTCTATTCTTTCACAAAATAATCATGAGAATGCTGTGTTATTGGGTTGACTTGTCTTTAATATATTTGGTGCCCAAAAATTCAAGTACGTGGTAGATTAAGATCAACTTAAAAAATGACGCAAATCATTTGTCAACTAATCCACTTTATTGTCTTTAAGTATCATTGTTAGTCTTTGTGTCAATGAATTTATAAAGTAACATCTCTCATCTTACAACGATAATCCCCTTTGGTTTACAAGTCAGTTTTAAAGTCACTCTAACACCCCCCTCTCGTACAAGTTATAGTATCTTTACACCTATTTTGACTCCTGCAAATTCGAATAAAAGAATGAAAAAAAGATGAATTGAGTCTCCTTTTAACTATTAGACAAACTTGATTTTTGAAGAGCAACAAACTTGTGCTTTACCATCCAAGGCGTTTAATTGCAATTAAGATTAATCAAAGGGAATCTATTTGAAACAGAGGAAATGAACAAGTGCAAAAATTGGTTGTTGCTAATGTCAACCCAGTTCTAAGGAGCTTTGAAATATCAGCTCACATTTTTAGATCAGTTAATTAACCCATAAGTGAATTAGAATGGGATTGAAAACAACTCTGCAAACAACTCTTACCCCTTTTTGAATTTTTCTGTATTTTTTCAATTTTTCAAATGTTCTCACTAGAAAAATGAGTCAGGTTATCTTAGCTCACTTTCGAACCAACCTTTTTGAATAGGATTGGCTCCCTCTGACAATTGTATACAAAATGTACCGTAGTATTGTGTTGTTATTAACTCACAAACACATACACAACCTTGTCATAGTTCACAGAAATTCAGTATATTAACATAAACTTCTCATACAAAACATGGATAAATAGTCTAAACAACAACTACCATAAACCTTCATCCAAATTAACAAGGTGCTCAAACATAGCTATGTTCATGGAATCATGTAAAAAAAATCTTTTATAGCCAATTTATTGAACGAAACAAAGTAACCATTTGATTAACGAGCATTCAGAAACACAATCTTCAAGTTTGGATGTCCCTGTTTTTTTAGCTGGAGCCTGCCACAAGAAATCAATCCATATGTTATCACCAGTATGCAAGATCTTTTTTTTATTGTTGAGAATATCAATATGCAAACTCTGCTCTCTACAAATCATCCATATACAGTAAGTGTTCTTTATTAAATAGGAATGAGTTAACAACCACACTTTCGTAAATGTTAAAAGGAAGAGAGATAAAACTTAATTGTGCTTTGCTTCATCAAAAGGCAAACCATATGAAAATTGATGACAGTGAACAATCTTATTTCTTATCAAATACATAACAGCAGTCTGGTAGAATTTAAGTATAATCAGTTGGTGGTAAATCATATAAAAAATAGTATAAGTTCTTGGAAGCAAGAAAAGTACTAAATAATCAATTACCTAACATAATCCCAGGAGGCAAGCCAGCAAATCATAATTTAAAAGTACGACTAAGCGTAGCAACTGATAAATAAGGTATGGTAGAAAAGGGCCCCGGGATCATAGTGTGATACTCCGCCATATAAAATGACCCAAACTTTGAAATGTCACCGGCTCCATCGCCAAACCTTCCTAGTCCTAGATGCATTAGGTGTATAAATATCTTGACTTGAGAGTCGTATCTTAACTAGACACGAGTATCTTAACGAGTCATGAGAGCCGATATACGAATCTCTAGTGTGTCACCATCAGGACATGAATACCATCTTTAATCCCCATTCATTCTAATGAATCACTACCTAAACTCGGTTCAGCAAACCATTTTTCTCAACATTGTATAACCAACACATGTCATTCGATATATGAAATGTATCCAGCATTAAAAAAAAAACATACTAACATCGTAAAATTGAATTGTAAAGCAGGTAACGAGCAATGATTAAGATGAGAAGGTACCTGAGAAAATTAATGGCCGCTTCCGTGATCATCATGACCCTCCCAGGGATGCCTCCAGCCCTAAGGTAAAATCGAATAAATCAATCAAAAAACTGAAATAACATTATACACAATAATTTGCAATAAAAGTGTTGAGAGTGTTACCAGTACAACGGGAGCATCTTGCTTTGCCCTGTACATCACCCAAAACCTAACAAAAACAATTAATTTAAACAAAAAGATGAATATCGAGAAATCGATTAACGAAATTGAGAAATTAGGGTAACGGACGGAAAGAGAAGACGAACAGACCACATGACAGCGCACAAGCCTTTGCCGGTGATGGTGTGCCAGCGCTTAGGTTGATGAATGGTTACGCCTTTGTAGGTTGTACCGCCGTGGCCGTGTCCTCCCACCATTTTCTCCGATGCTCGATTTCACTCTAACTCAAAATGCTGCTGGTTCTGATGTACCCACACTAGATCTCACCCTTAATATTAATTTACCTCGTCAGAAATAGATAATATATTAAGTTCCATCTTTACCCTCTGTTATGGAGTACCTTTAAATTTAGACTTTTTGTTTCAAATACCCCAATTTTGAAAATTAATTTACAATATACTTTGAAAAAAAAGTTCTAAAATTGTCATTTTTTGTGAAAGGGATCGGTTAAGGGTGTGCATGTGATTTTTTATAGAGAATTATTGGTCATTTATTGGTCGAGGCAATATATACATTACAATAACAAAAAAATAAATAAAATATTTAAGCTCTAGTCTAATAAATGGTCGAGGGTATACAAGAAAAAAATGTAGAGACATCTCGGTCAATGAATGATGGAGTCTCTTCTTCAAATAAGGTATTTTTGAATATTTTTTTTTCCTTCAAAATATGATAGATTGAGAATTGTGTTTTAAAAAGAGGGTAAGTGAAGCAAAACACCTTAAATTTACAGCAATGCATATATACACCATCATCATACACTAATATTATACGGTGAACAAAATATTTCTTAAATAAAAAAATATAATATTTATAAACAACACGTGAATAGTGTCATGAACAGAATGTGAACAATGTCTCGCGAGCAGTGCCTGTGTACAATGTTTTTAATTAGTGAAATAAAGTTGATTACTAAAATGTAAGAAGTTGGTTAATGAAGTGATGAAATTGGTTAATAAACGCCCAAATATTAAACATAATTTTTAGTAGTAAAACAAAATTGATTAATGAAAAATAAAAAGTTGGTTAATGAAAAGTAAAAAGTTGATTAGTGAACGTCCAATTATTAAAAATATTTGGCAAAATATTATTTTTGATCCCGCGGATCAAAAACGAGTAATTTTAGAAAAATGCAGTACAACGACAGTGACTCGGAATATCGTCTCACAAGGATTCTTGCAGGAATAATCAAATACAGTAACGAAATATGGGGGTTTTGATTAAGATAAAATAAACGAAAAATAAGTAATTAGAAAAAGTGATTGTAGTAATGAGTTGGAACGACTAATCTACTGTTTTCGTTTCCCAACTTATCATCGATCCTAATAATTCCCAATTCCTAAGTGGATTCTATCCCCTTTCCGATTATAATAACAATCAACAAGCGCAATTGATATTATACGATACACGTTCATAATTTCTGAATTAAGCAAACAGATAAAATAGTAACCGTGAATTAAGTAAACACGAGAAACATACGCGGATTAAGCAACCACGATTAAAGTATAAGAACATGCAATCATCGAAATAAATCAATCATCCCTAAGATAAATTGAATTAAGCAAACAAAATATCATAGAGAAGAATTGAAAGGAAATAGATTTTATTGGAAATTAAAAGAACCTCAAAGTGTTGGCGAGAACCGATTACAGCAGATTAATCCCAAGGAATTAATTTTGTTTTATTTCTTTCAATTTATTTTGTTTTGTTTTCATTTAAAAAAAAATTGTTTACTTAGAAAAACACAATGCATTTTTTGAAATTTTTGGGCTATAGATCAATTTGAGGTCGGATTGTGGAGACTTGGGAACAATTCATAAGAGCGGTATCGTTTTAACACCTTAAGTCTCCCAAATATGGAAATCGATTTAAATACTTGTTATGACATAGTCTTGAGTTCTCGTCCTTTAATAGCTCTTAAGTAGTTTATCTAGCAGTCAACACCATCTAGAAATCACATGCTAAGTAATTGAGCTGATGCAAATAAGTGAATGATCCCGTGTTTAATAAGAAGGAAAAAAAAAGAAGAAAAAAAAAAGAGAAAAGAAAAAGACAAAAAGTGAAAAAAGAAAGAAAAAAAAAGAAAAAAAAGCAAAAAGTGTCTAATTCTGAATTGTTGAAAAAAATATGGATCATAGTCACTAACAAGCTCAGTTACCATGTGTGTGAATAGATAAAGGGCTTAATGTGATTGCACTAGAATGAAAGAGAGCAAAAAGGAGGATGAGTAAGTTAGACTTAGGCGTAACGACATGATTTGGATTGGTTTGTATAGGAGGGAGCCTTATGACCGCACAATTGTGGATTTGTGTTCTTACGATATCCTTAGTATGCAAAATTAGTACCTACCGATGCGATCTTGACCAGAGAAGAGTTCACAGCCTAGATTGAGTATCTAAATGTTTTTGTGTTTTATAAGTTTTGACAATACTTTGCTCGGAGTGCAAAGGTTCAAGTGTGAGGGAATTTGATCAGTGCATTTTAATGCACCTTCCTCTATGTTTAGACTTAGGCATTTCTACAGTTTAGTTTGTTTAATTTCATGTTTTATGATGTTTTTACAATTTATTTTATTTTAAGCTTTATTTAATTTTCGTTCGTTATTTTTCAGCATTAGCAGCTTTCAGTAAAAAATTCATAACTGGAGCTATAGGAATCAGATCGATGCGTTCTACCATTCGTTGGAAAGCTAAGAAAAAGATCTAAAAGTTTTATGTTGCACAAAGGAGCTGATTCGGATTGCTTGAGTCTCGAATAATTAGTTGAAGTTTCTGACTTGTGATAATGTAGTTTTCCTTGCGGGCCTAGTTTAGGTTTCCGGCCCAGTTATTTTCTATTTAAGGTTGCTATTGTGATGCAAAAGAGAATCCTAGTTTATTTTCCGAATTTTGTTTTGTTTTTTCATTGTTTTCACGGCGAACTAATCCTAAGGGAAAATCCGCCGGTTTTGAATCCCGTAATTACTTTGAGGTTCTTTTAATTTCCAATAAAATCTATTTCCTTTCAATTCTTCTCTATGATATTTTGTTTGCTTAATTCGATTTATCTTAGGGATGATTGATTTATTTCGATGATTGCATGTTCTTATACTTTAATCGCGGTTGCTTAATCCGCGTATGTTTCTCGTGTTTGCTTAATTCACGGTTACTATTTTATCTGTTTGCTTAATTCAAAAATTAGGAACGTGTATCGTATAATATCAATTGCGCTTGTTGATTGTTATTATAATCGGAAAGGGGATAGAATCCGCTTAGAAATTGAGAATTATTAGGATCGATGATAAGTTGAGAAACGAAAACAGTAGATTAGTCGTTTCAACTCATTACTATAATCACTTTTTCTAATCACTTATTTTTCGTTTATTTTATCTTAGCCTAAATCCCCCTTATTTCATTACTGTATTTGATTATTCCTACTATTCCTACAAGAATCCTTGTGAGACGATATTCCGAGTCACTGCCGCTGTACTGCATTTTCCTAAAATTACTCGTTTATGATCCGCGAGCGACCGCGAATCAAATAATTTGATCCGCGGTCGCTCGCGGATCAAAAACGAGTAATTTTAGGAAAATGCAGTACAGCGACAGTGACTCGGAATATCGTCTCACAAGGATTCTTGTAGGAATAATCAAATACAGTAACGAAATATGGGGTTTTTGATTAAGATAAAATAAACGAAAAATAAGTGATTAGAAAAAGTGATTGTAGTAATGAGTTGAAACGGCTAATCTACTATTTTCGTTTCCCAACTTATCATCGATCCTAATAATTCTCAATTCCTAAGCAGATTCTATCCCCTTTCCGATTATAATAACAATCAACAAGCGCAATTGATATTATACGATACACGTTCCTAATTTCTGAATTAAGCAAACAGATAAAATAGTAACCGTGAATTAAGCAAACACGACAAACATACACGAATTAGGCAACCGCGATTAAAGTATAAGAACATGAAATTATCGAAATAAATCAATCATCCCTAAGATAAATTGAATTAAGCAAACAAAATATCATAGAGAAGAATTGAAAGGAAATAGATTTTATTGGAAATTAAAAGAACCTCAAAGTGTTGGCGGGAACCGATTACAGCAGATTAATCCGAAGGAATTAGTTCAACATAATTCATACAAAGCTCCAACAAATATTTTCGTGAATAGTGAATAGGATTCTGTAAACGAGGTTTCCCCTCAAAATAAAACAATAGATTCAGTTCATAACCCAACTGGGTCAAAAACATAACCCCGACCCAAAACAAGATCAAAACTAAAACAGAATTCTAATGCTGTAACTTGAAACGAAATTCTGGAATTTTGAGCTTCGAATCTGACTTCGACTCCAACTAGAAAGTTGTAGCTCTATCTCTTAGCTTTCCGGAGATTTTTAGAACGCCTCAAACGGATTCCCGGAACTCCAGTTATGATCGTTTCTGTGCAGACTGCTAAAGCTGAAAAATAAAGTGCGAAAATCAAATTAAACTAAAAATAAAATAAAATGTAAAAACATAATAAAACATAAAAATAATCAAAATAAAGTAAAGAAATGCCTAAGTAAAAATATAGGAGAATATGCATAAATATGCACTGATCAAATTCCCCCGGACTTGAACTTTTGCACTCTGAGCAAAATTAAAACAAAACAAGGGAAGCACACACACATCAATAGTTACTCATTCCAGGCTAAAAGTCTTCTTCGGTTAAGTTTGCATCGATATGTACTAATCTTACACACTAAGGATATCGTAGGAACACTAATCCACAATTGTGCAGACATAAACCTCCTGAATATACAAATCAACTTGAATCATGTTATTATGTTGAAGCCTAACTTACTCTTCCTCCTTTTTGCTCTTTTTCATTCAGGCGCAATCACATTAAGTCTGTTATCTCCACACACTCATAGCAAAGCGACCGGTTAGTGACTCTGATCCTTTTTGTTTTGAGTTCTGGTACTTACGTGGCATAACCCTTTGCTCACTTAGTTGTAGTTGCGGGGGATCGGACAGTAATCCGCCCTACCAAGTTCAGCACCAGAAACCGCTAAACCAACTAACGAGTAATAAAAAAAATTTCAACTTTTTCTTTTCTTTTCTTTTTCTTTTTTTCTTCTTTTTATTTTTTTTCTTTTCAATTTGATCACTCACTTATATTCATCGGCTTCCCTGCGTAGAGTGTGTATGAGATGGTGCTGACTGCTG